TGCAGGAGGTTCACACAGGTGCTCACTCCCAGAGCGAATACTACAGTAAGCCTCTGTAGCATAGAGGGCCAGCTCAGCATGGAAGTCCAGTTCTGGGTGTCTCCACCCTGCTCTGCAGGGCTGCCAGAGGCAGTCAGGTTGCTGGGCTGGCCTTCCTGGGGCCAGGAGAGCCTGGGGAGATTGGGTGTTCTGAGGACAGCTGCTTGGGGGGCCTCCACTATTTCAGGACAGCTCAGAAATAGCTAAAATCAGCTTCTGTGGTGGCTGCGGTGGGTGGAGGACTCTCCTGCATTACTGGAATTTGTGTCTAATTGTATATCTTAAAACTAAAAATGAAACTGGTGTCTGTAATTACCTGTCCCCACCAGAGGTGGTAGGGAAAGCACCCTGAAACTTCAGGCTGTGGGACAGCCACTTCCAGCCCTGCTAACAGGTTCCCTGCACTGCATGTAATGTCCCCACTTGGAAGTGCTTTGCTTGAGAAATTCCTGAATCAGATAGCTGGGGAGGCTTTCATTCCCTTTTCTCCTTTTAAAATTTAAATGTTGATTATGGGAATAATGCTTGAACAAAAACAAAAGAAGTGACCCCGGCCGCCCTCACCTGCACTGTGGTCAGACCTGGCTAGCTGCTCCCTTCCTCTGTCCATTGTCCTTTCACACGTATAAATAAGCCACTTGTCCCTAGAGCCAAAAGCCTGGAGTTCTAGGCCTCCTTGGGTGGGAATGATCTCTGTGCCTTGGTTTTGTAATGTTATTTACTCATCTATCTGGTTTTGGGGATTGAACCCAGGGCCTTGTACATGTTAAGTTTTTTGTTTTTTTGTTTTTTTAATCATTTTCGTTGCTGCTCTCAAGTCTGGAGTAGCCAGTGGCTCAAGTTTGTAATCCTAGCTACTCAGAAGGTGGAGATCTGAGGATCATGGTTCAAAGCCAGCCTGGACAGAAAAGTCTATGAGACTCTTATCTCCAGTTAATGTCCAAAAAGCCAGAAGTGGAGCTGTGCCTCAAGTGAGAGAGCTGAGTAGCTGGATTACAGATGTGAGCCACTCATTCCGCTCAGTCTTGCCCTCTCCCTCCTTTTTTTTTTTTGGCCAGCATCCTTCCCCTATCTCCAGACCTGAGTCTGTTCATCTCATTGTTCCTGCCCTGGCCTTCCCTGGGCCCTCATTCCACCCTTTTCAGGATGCCCAGCTTCCTCCCTCCAGAGGGTTCGGCATCTGATGGAGAGTTTGTGCCATCCTGCAGTCCTGGAGGCCACCCCTCACCTGCAGGGCTGTGACACAGGCCCTGAACACAGATGAGCCTGGATAAAGAGACAGCTTTTCAGCCTATAGCTGTGGGACTTCGGGTAGGCCTCACAGCATATCTGAGCCTTGATAAACAGCCATCTCTCTCAGTGTTCAGGCCTTCAGGAAGTGCCTTCTGCTGTGGTGTTTATTTCACCCAAGCAGTGACCCCCTGGGGGTGGGCCAGGGCCTGGCAGTCAGCCTCTTCCCATGGGAGTGGTGACATCTCACAGTGATTGTTTACAGTCCTATGGAAACAGGAGGGAGGCCCAGCACTGATTCTGATCCTGTGAGCTCTATCACCTTCCGGCAGAGGGAGGGGGTGTGCCTGTCACCTGAGCCTGAGAGGGCTCCACATGGCTTTCTCTGGCCTGACCTGGCAGGACCAGCAGGAACCACAAATGGGCCTCCAGCTTCCTGGCTGGTGTTCCCACGGCTGTCCCTCAAAGTGGGGAGAAAAAGCCTGCAATTCCCTTTCAGCCTGATCCTAATCCCTCTGGGTGTTTTAACACGCCCAGAGTCCCAGCCTCTTCAGGTGTCAGGTCACCAGCAGCTGCTCCCACTCCTGGATGGGGTGGGGCTTCAGCTCTTAACCCTTTCAAGTTCCCACTGGCTACTTGGGAGGCACCTATCTTCTCCTCTGTCCCTTTATTCATCTCCTGAGTGTCTGCTGTTGGCGTCTGTCTAAACTAGGATCCATGAAAGCAGGACAACGGCTGGTATAGTAAGACCAAGAGTCCTCACCATTGTGCCTAGCAGGACCTGACCCCTGGCCCTCACTGATGTCTTCTTTCTCCCCCACTGGCCTCCTTACTGTTTTCCCCATTTACTAGGCATCTTTCCATCTCAGGGCCTTTGTACTTAGTGCTCACATCCTTACTGCAGTCAGGGCCAATGCTAGCCACATGCCTGAATAGCAGCACCCACCTTCTCAATCCTATACAGCATCCTGCTGTGCATTCTTCATGTAGCTAATGCACTGTGCTTTTTTTTTTTTTTTCAGAGAGGAGGAATACTTCAATTGAGGGGGAAAGAAAAGTATATCATTTAAGACTTTTTGGGGGGTCAGTCTTGGGGCTTGAACTCTGGGCCTGGATGCTGTCCCTCAGCTCTTCAGTTCAAGATGAGCACGCTGCCACTTGAGCCACAGTGCCACTTCTGGTTTTCTGGTGGTGGAGAGTCTCACGTAGCTAGGTGCTGGTGGCTCTTAACTGTAATCTTAGCCACTCAGGAGGCTGAGATCTGAGGATCGCAGTTCAAAACCAACCTTGGGCAGGAAAGGCGGTGAAACTCTTTATCCCCAATAAATCACTGGAAAATCAGAAGTGGCGCTGTGGCTCAAGCACTAGCTTTGAGCTGAAGAGCTCAGGGACAGTGCCAGGCCCAGAGTTCAAGCCCCACAACCAACCAAAAAAAAAAAAAAAAAAAAAAAATCTCACGGACTTTCCTGCCTGGGCTGGCTTTGAACTACGATCCTCAGATCTCAGCCTCCTGAGTAGCTAGGACTATAGGCATGAACTACCAACACCCTGCAATTTTTTTTTTGCCAGTCCTGTGGCTTGAATTTCAGGGTCTAGGCACTGTCCCTGAGCTTCTATTGCTCAAGGCTAGCACTCTATCACTTGAGAGACAGCACCATTTGTGGCTTTTTCTGGTATGTGGTACTGAGGAATCAAGCCCCAGGGCTTCATGCATGTTAGGCAAGCACTCTACCACTAAGCCATATTGCCAGCCCATAGTTGAAGATATTGAGTGAATGTTTTTGAAGTTCTGGAGACTGAACCCACAGCCTTGTCCATGCTAGGCAAGTATTTATTGTACCACTGAACTACAACCCTTAGCCAACAGGTGATGGTTTCCAACATTCACATGGCTATGAATCCGTCAGTAGTCATTTGTGGAACATTTTCATCACCTCACAAACCACACATCCAGTAGGTGTCACTCCCCATTTCCCCAACTCCCCAGCCTCTGGCCACCACCAGTCTACTTCCTGCCTCTGTGGGTTTGCCTGTTCTGGGCTTTTCCTAATAACGCAATCATTACTGCGTGGTTCCTTGTGTCTGGCTTCTTACCCTTAGCCATCCATATGTTGAAGGTTAGCCCATGTTACATTATAAGTGCTTTATTTCTTCTCTATCCTATGAGTAGACCAAGTATTACTTTCCATTTCCCAATTGATGGACATTCGGATTACTTTCATGTTTAGCTGTTGGGAATAATGCTGTAGTGCATGTTTACATACAAGTGTTTTGTGAATGTAAGTTTCCTTACTGTTGGGTGTGTACATAGGAGAATTGCTAGTTCACTTGGTAACTCTTCATTAACCTTTTGAGAATTGCAAGGTTCCAAAAACACGATGCCTCGAGTCCATAGCAGGGCCCTGCTGGCCCCAGGCCCTATGGGTTCCAGCTGCCAGGCTTTCCTGGGCTCTGTGCCAGCCAGCTGAGATGATAGGTGAGCACTGTGGCTCTGAAGGTGGACATCCTACCTTTGGGGTGCTTTGTCCGATACTAGGGATGCGATTGGAGCCTTGGTGCCATCATCTGTAGTACAGGGGATAGCATAGACCCACGGCCCAAGGTAGCTATGAGAGAAAAGCATTCTGGTGGTCAGGAGATGCCTGGCTGTGGATGACCTTCACCCTTAGGCCCCAATCTGGTAGGTAACCTGTGCTCCCGTCACGCAGGGTGGAGAGAGGTCACTTCCTCAGCTGTCCATTTGGCTGGCTGGATAGGTGGGATGAGCTTCGATGCTGTCTCACAGCGCCCCCGCCCTTCCGTGGCCACCCCTTCCTGAGCTCTAATTCTGCCAGGGTTGGGGGCAGGGGCTGCTGCTGCGCTGCAGAGCTCAGCTTCCCTTGCCACAAGCTGCTGCTGCTTCCGTCCCCGGATCCCACCGAACCCCAAAGTAGCTAGGTGTGGCTTAGATGAGCTGTGTCCATCATTCTAAGGCATAGTGGCCTCGCTGAGGGAGATTCCAATTCCTTCACAGTGTCGGCACACAGGAGGCACTGCAGAGGGGTAGATGCTATGATTACTGTTGTCGGTGTTATTACTGGTGGTGAGAAGACACCCCAGTCTGGCAGAACCCAGCTGAAGGCCCAGCTAGCTCAGCACTTGACTGGCTGGTGATCTGGGAAGTTACCTGGCTTCCATGTCTTGTCTGAATAGTCCCACCTGAGCAGACTGATGTGAGTTAAGGCCACATGTCATGGCAGGAGCCAGCCAAGGTCAAGGTGGTGGAGGAGGTACAAGCTGGTCAGCGGACTGGCTCCCTGGAGGGCGGCTGCCCAGCCTGACCTCACTAATAACTGCTCTATGTTTTCTTCCCTTTTCACTGAGTGCTTTTTGTGTTTCTACAGCAAATATACTAGCACATTCTTGGGAACATAGTGGCTTTATTTTGGCAATATTGAGATTTAAACTCAGGGCAGAGGTGCTGCCATTTGTCCCTTTACCATGCGAATACAATACCCTCAAGCCCCATTTTGCTTACTTACTTCTTGGTTGGTCTTAGGTTTTCCTTGGCGCTGACTTCTGCCTACCTATACTTTCTCCTACTTACACTTCCTCCTATACTTCCCAAGTAGCTGGGTTTACAAGAGTGAGCTATCTACTATCCCAGGTTAATTTCACTTTGTATCACAAAAAACTGACAGTTCCGTGTCTCTGATCCCCTATGCTCTCCTGTCCCGTCTTGGTCTCTGCAGGGAGGAGGTTCAGGAGAACTGTGTGCGGTGGCGGAAGAGGTTCACCTTTGTGTGTAAGATGAGTGCCAACCCAGCTACAGGCCTGCTGGACCCTTGTATCTTCCGTGTGTCCGTGCGCAAGGTGAGGCCAAGCTCCTAGGGCAAGAGGAGCACAGGCTGGTGGTGTGATGGTTTTAGACTACTCCCCGGACGTGTCCCCTCTAATAGAAAATGTGGGGACTTGCTCTGCCCCTTGTTCTCTCTTGGGGCTTAGATTTGGGGGGTTACCCAAGGAAACAGTCCCCTAGTCATTCCTGATGCTTGTGTTTCCCTCCTCACACAGGAGCTGAAAGGCGGGAAGGCTTATTCCAAGGTAAGAGGGTCCATGTGAAGGGATGGTAGGATGGGGTGCATGGCAGGAGACAGTCCTAGAAAAGTTTCCAGGACTTCCAACCCCATTCTGCCCCAGACTGATGACCCTGAGTCCTATGTGAGGTATATTGTTTTGAGAGGTTTTCTTTATTCATAATCTTCGTACTTAATATAAAGACAGTATTTGCTTACTGCTATAAAACAGTATGAGAACTCACAAAGGAGAGACCATATTTCTGTCTCCCTTCTTCTTTGCCTCTCCCAGGACCTCATCATTGGATTGGTTAAGATCTTTCTGACCAGGCACTGGTGGCTCGTGCCTGTAATCCTAGCAACTCAGGAGGCTTAGATCTGAGGATTATGGTTGGAAGCCAGCCCTGACGTGTAAAACTGACACTCTTATCTTTAACTACCAAAAAGCTGGAAGTAGAGCTATGGCTCAAGTGGTAGAGCTCCAAAGCTAAGGGGTAGCACCCAGGCCCTTAGTTTAAGCCACAGTATCAGCACAACAAAATAAAGAGATTGAGAAGAGGGGCTGGGGAGGAGGGATTTTACGCAGGGCCTTGTACATGCTAAACAAGGTGCTCTAACACTAAGCTATAACCACCTAACCTTTTGAAGAAAAAATAATCTATCATACGTACAGAGTAGTGAGTAAAATCATGTATGTCATTCAGAGCCCCTTCCATGCATACTTGTGTGCCCACAAGTAATATGATTTTAAAAATGGATGGACAGATGCTACAACTTTAGCTGTTTATTTACTCAACACATTGTAGGCATCTTTTGATGTCATCGTAGTCTTCTGTGTGTTTTTGATGGCAGCTGCATCCTAGTGCGTGGCTGCTGACAGTTGACGCAGCCACTTCCTGATGTTGGACATGTGGGTTTTCCATAGGTTTTCCCAGCCTCAGCACTTTAGAGTTGAGCTTCATCTATGGGACAAGTGGGAAAGATGCCTTGGTTTGAATAAGCTGGCGCTGCCCACAGTCTATCTTCTCTGTGAGAAGTCTTGGGAGGCTAGCCCAGCAGCATGGGGGTAGGGGTGGGGGGTGGGTACAGGCCTTCTCCTCATCTCTCACCCATTGGGAAGACCTGAGGGGAGGGGCTGAGCACCTCTCCATTGTCAGAACTTTGGAACACCATGGACTTCTATATACCCTGCCCTGGTCTGCGTGCCCTCTGAAGCAGAGGGCAGGGTGGCAGGCTAGCTGTAGAGGGTTAGAGTTTCTCCGCCTGTTGATCGATGGGTGTGGGAACGTCTGCACATAGCCAGGAGCATCTTCATGGACGTGATAGCGGCAGAGCATCTCGGCATGAGCCTGGGCCCTATCCCTGCTGTTCTCTGGGAGGGCCTGGCACCTATCGGGCCTGATTTCAGTCCTGTCTCTGTGTGTGGCTGGTGGATTACTTCCCCTTCCTGAACTTTGTATCCTCGTCTGGAAAATGGGGTCTTTCTGTGAGTCAGTGGGTCTGGGATCCCTTGCTTCTGGAGCCTGTGTCTTTAAACACAGCAGTTAGAGACTTGTATACAGCCAGTGCTGGATTGCATGTCCTTGATTTGTTTGCTAGTCTGTGAAGTCCCCACGCCTGGTCCCTCCTCTCTTCAACCTCCCCTTTGGTCAGGCCAAGTTGGCTCCATCTGGCTCTTGGTCTTCTTCCTATGTTCCTGTCATTTCCTTCCTTGTCCCTCACTTCTGACTTGGACTCAGGATCAGAGGAGCAACCTCAGTTCCTAAGGGCCAGTCCAGATCCTGGAACCTGAGCATCACTCCCTTGCCCCATGATCTGCCAGGGAATGTCCACTTTCAGAGGTTCCTTTCCTGAGCCCCCGTGGGGCTGTGCATCCCCCCCAGCCCACCACTGAGTTCCCATGGGCCTTGCCTCGTCTTCTGCCTGCTCTCCTGGCAGCTCCCGACAGCACGGCCTTGTTTCCCAAGGAACAATGTGTCTGTGTCACAGACAACAATGTCCTTTCATCTCTGGCACGCTGGCCTCTGTGCACATTGGGACTCAGCACAAAAGGCTCTTTGTGTGACTCAGGGATGTGAGCGTCTTGCTTTGCCACATTGGAGCCTCTGACCCAGGGACTCTGTCCTTGGTCTTGGTTATGCAACAGTCAGTCAGGTCTATGGGGTGGGCCTATCCTGTCTGCCCTCCCTTCCCGCTCCCTGCCAAGTTAACCCTTGTGCGTTTGTCCGTCAGTCCATGCCCACACTCCGTGCAGCCTCCCACATGCTCCTCTTTCCCTCCTAGCTGGGCTTTGCTGACTTGAACCTGGCTGAGTTTGCTGGCTCAGGCTCCACTGTGCGCTGCTGCCTGTTGGAGGGCTATGACACAAAGAACACTCGTCAGGACAACTCCATCCTCAAGGTACCCAGACCCTGCTGCCTCTACCACCCCGAGGGAAGGGGACAAACCCAGCTTCTCATTAGAATCACCTGGAGGGTTGTTAAAATACAGATTTTCAGCCAGTGAGCCAGTGGCTCACATTTATAACTCTGGCTACTTGGGAGGCTGAGAATGAGAGGATGGTGGTTCAAGGCCAGGGTAGGCAGAAAAGTCCCTGAGACAAGGGAAGCTGGATGCGATGGCATGTGCCTGGGAGTGCCTATCATCCCAGCAACTAAGGAAAACCTAAAATAGGTTATGGTTCAGGGGTATGCCTGGGGAAGGAAGTAAGATCCTATTTTTAAAATAGCTCACAGGGCTGGGAAGGTGGCTCAGTGGTAGAGCACTTGCCTTGCATGCCTGAGGCCCTGGGTTCGATTCCTCAGCACCACATAAGCAAAAAAGAAAAAAGCCAGAAGTGGTGCTGTGGCTCAAGTGGTAGAGCACTGGCCTTGAGCTGAAGAGCTGAGGGACAGCGCCCAGGCCCAGAGTTCAGGCCCCACGACCGGACCCCCCCAAAAAAAAAAATAGCTCACATAAGGGCTAGAGGTAAGGCTTAGCAGCAATAGAACATCTGTCTATCAAGCCCAAGGCCCTAAGTTAAATCCCTACTGCCAAAAAATAAAAGTATAGGTTTTCACGTGAACAGGTATTGAGTGTTATTAGGAAGATATGGTTGCTGGGGTCAGCATTTTACTTGTATCCATGTTTGGGGGTGCTGAGTGCTTTCTGTTTCCCACCTCATGAACCCAACAACAGCTCTCCCATGGGTCCTGGTGTCTGTCTGTCTCAGGTTTACCTCAAAAGGGAGTGGAGATGCAGAAGTTCCATCATTTTGCCCAGGGTCACAGCAGATCTAGTCTATGATCCCATCTGTTGACTCCACAACTCAAGTCTTAACCCTAACCTGTGTCCCTGTGACCTGAGGCAGCCTGGTTCTGTGGATATCCAAGAGCTAAAGAGCTGATGTTCTAGACTTGTGTGCACCATTCCAGAGCCAGGCAGGGCGAGCAGCTGTCAAGCAACTGCCTGTTTGGCTTTTTGGTTTTTTAGTTTTCTTTTTTTTGGGGGGGGTCCGGTCGTAGGGCCTGAACTCTGGGCCTGGGCGCTGTCCCTCAGCTCTTCAGCTCAAGGCCAGTGCTCTACCACTTGAGCCACAGCGCCACTTCCGGCTTTTTTCCTTTTGCTTATGTGGTGCTGAGGAATCGAACCCAGGGCCTCATGCATGCGAGGCAAGTGCTCTACCACTGAGCCACCTTTCCAGCCCCCTGTTTGGCTTTTTGGGAACAGAGGTGTCTGGATGTCTGCTGCTCACAGTCTTCTCTTCCTCCTACTCCATTCCCTTCCACCTGACTGAGAAAACAGGTGTGATGCCACCTCCAGTGCTGACTCAGTGGTAGTCAGCTGTGGCTGGCAGAGCTGGATACAGGTGGTAGACAGTTACCAGAAAGGCATCAGAATAGATCTAGGTTACTGGATGTGGTAGTGCGTACCTGCAATCACAGCACCTGGGAGGTTAGGCAAGAAGATCATGAGTTCCCAACTAGCCTAGGCTACCTAGTTTAAAAAAAAAAAAAAAAGAGGAGGTCCAAACTGATAGAAGCTGGACATTTTAAACCCCCCTCACCCCATGGGAGAATAGTCAAGGGGATCCAGAGGCCAGATGACCTCAGGTTCAAGTCCAGCTCCCCACACACTGTTGGCAGGGTCTTAGGCAGTCAGTTCTCCTCTTGGAGTCTTGGTTTGCTAGTCTACAACTTACTTTGTAGCCAAGTAAAATGATGTACGAAAAGCATGGGACTCAAGCACTGCTTTCCCAGCCTATCACTCCATCTCAGCCTGGATTTGGGGACCCAGTCATTGCCACATTGAAACCATTGCCAGAGTCTCTGCCCAAGTGTGCTCTACCCCTTGGGCCATAGCTCCACTTCTGTGTGTGCTAAGTTCCTAATTGGTTTTGTGTTTTTACTTTATTCATTGAACTTTCACCAGTCCCTACTGGTAAAAGTCTTTCATGGAGGACCCTGTGAGTGCTCCCTGTTCCCACTCTGGGAGCACTGGGAGCCCTACTCCCCCTCCTGCCTGCCATGATGGGCCCTTTAAGTACCCCTATCCCCACGTGGGATGCTGGGAGTCTTCTACCCTTCCCACCCCTCTGAGTCTTTGCCCCTCACACACACCTGGGTCTTGCTGTGAGTGGGGCTGAATGGCCCCCACCCTGAGGAGCTCACAGTCTTGGTTATGATTTGAAATCATGCCCTGTGCTGGGCCCCAGCTGAGTGAGCCTCATCTCATTGGGTCTCCCCTCACTCCCAGGCAGGCCACAGCACCCATTCTATCCTCCATGTAGGAAACGGGCTCGGTGTGGTCAGCTCAGGGAGCAGTCAGGACTGGAGTCCTATCCCTTCCCTTGTGAGGCAGAGCCAGGAGGCTGCTGGGCAGCCATGCCTGGGTGTAGTGCTAGTGGCTGGGGCTGATCTCTTCCCTTTACCCATAGGTTACCATTGGTATGTTCCTGCTTTCTGGAGACCCCTGTTTTAAGACGTGAGTACTGGCTAGGCCCCAGGGGGTGATGGGAGCTTCATCCTGGGCTTTTGATGGGTGGGTGTGGGTGTGAGGTAGGGGGAAGGGCAGGAGACCTCCTTCCTTCAGGCTCTGGGGTTCCCATCTTCATCTGAGATGGCGCACCCCAGTCATGCCTATTTGTTTTCCCAAGGCCACCATCCACTGCCAAGTCTATCTCCATCTCGGGCCAGGACTCCTCCCTGCAGCTGACATGTAAAGGTGGCGGGACCAGCAGTGGTGGCAGCGGCAGCACCAATTCCCTGACAGGGTCCCGGCCCCCCAAGGCCCGGCCCACCATCTTAGGCTCAGGTATTGCCCCATCCTCCTGCCCCTCCTCTGCCAGTGATCTCAGCTTTTAGCTGGCCAGGGAAGATGCTTATGAAGAGGAGGGCAGAGGACAATAGTATTTATGACTGCTTACACTGCCATTGGCCCACCTGGTCTGAGCACCCAGTGTGCTGACCTAGGGTTCCAGCAGCTCCTGGCACTGAGACTGGAGCAGTCTCCCTGTCCTTTTGGCCCTGCAGCCCAGTAGGACAAGCAGGCACTAACAGAACTATAAGTCCCGAGCATCTCCACCTACAGAGACAGTGCTGGGGAGAGATGCCTGAAGGTAGGCTCTGACTGGCAGTGGCATGTGAACTGCCGTCTCGGGTATGAGTGGTGGTACCAGGAAGAGGGGTCCTCCCATCTGATCCTGGCTGGCCATGGTGCAGGCTCCAGCCTCCCTTGGGAAATGAGATTGGTGACAGTAACTGCATCCCAGCTTGTTTTAGGGATTAACTGAGCAAATGGACGCAGCTGCCTGGTGCATTATGTTGTTGGTATTACTGATGTTATGAAAAGGAACCCAGACCCCTGAGGAGACTGTGGCTGTCAGGAAAGGAAGGTGCTACAGCAAGAGGAGACTTTGGTCTGCTCTCAGGTGTTTGCTGCCCCCCCCCACTCAGGTCTGTTTCTGTGTGGGGTAAAGCAGAGCCCCCAAAGGGATGAGCTTTGGCCCTGCACACCCTTTGTGAAGTGAACTCAAAGCTGGGAGGTAGACAGTCCCCAAGGTGATTAGTGAGCAAGGCAGCACATGTACCCTGTTTTGTGCTAAGTAATTAGAAGGAGGCATAGGCCTCTCTGGGTAGTTTGGCCCCTGTGGTCTGGTTACAGTAAGGGACCATCAGGCCTCCGACTGAGGTTTTCCCCAGGCCCAGCTTTCCTGTTGAACCAGCCAGGTGAAGCCTAGAGCAGCAAGCCAGTTTCTGCCTGTCTCCACCTGGGGCCATGAGTTTAGCCCTGGTACTGGCACCAAAAACAAAAAAGAACAAGCAAAAAAACCCCAAACCCCCAAACCCTGGTTTTGTGGGGGTAGTGGGGAACATGCATAGGCCTGGGCCACTACCTCTGGAGGAGGAGATGGATGAGTCCTTCCTTCCTCTTGGAAGAAGAGGAGATGGTGGAGATGGATGGGGGGACCGGTCACAGAGCCCTGCCTCAGTCCCACCAGGTTCACTTGTGTCTCTAGCTGGGGACAATCAAGGAAGTTTGTCTTAGCTGGGCCCCAAGGGCTCATGCCTATAATCCTAGCTACTTAGGAGGCTGAGATTTGGGAATTGAGGTTCAAAGCCACCCTAACCAAGAAAGTTGGTTTTAAAACAGCCCAGGACAAGGTTATTGACCTGTGTGTGTCCCTTTGGGCCTTGGCCTAATCCTCTGTTCTATCTTGTGCACTCCAAAGACCCAAGTTTATTCCAGCCTCAAGGCCTTTGCAAATGCTATTTTCTCTGTCTGGAGGGCCCTGTCTCTGATACCTTCTCTGACTCCTTCCATCCTCCATATCCCGAGAATCACAGTAGTAGACCAGTCTCCTGCAGATTAGGTCTGGCGGCCATGTGTTCTGTCCCTCCTCAGCCCCACTGACCAGGGCTGGGGTGTAGTGCTGCTGAGCACTCCTCCTTGCTGGCCTGCAGCAGGTTCTCCGTGCAAGGAGGCCCCTAGCAGATGTGCATGGAATGTGGGACCAGGGTGATCAGGGCTGTGGTGACACAGCATGAGCCGTGGCTGGGGATGGGTGGCTGCTTACTCCTCTGGATCTCAGTCTTACTATCTGTTCAGTGCCCCCTAGTGGAGGCTCTGAGAGAATGACTGAGGGTGAGGTAAAACTCCATGTAACCTTGTCCCCTGTGTCCTCCAGGGCTGCCAGAAGAACCAGACCAGGGTCTGTCCAGCCCCGAGGAAGTATTCCACTCTGGCCACTCCCGTAACTCTAGCTATGCCAGCCAGCAGTCCAAGATCTCCGGTGAGTGGCCTGCCCCTGTCCCTGTGGCTTCCCTAACCATCCATAACCCTGGACCCCTTGTGATGCCCCCTCCCATGTTCTCCAACCCACAGGCTACAGCACTGAGCACTCACGCTCCTCCAGCCTGTCAGACTTGACACACCGCCGAAACACGTCCACTAGCAGCAGTGCCTCAGGTGGTCTCAGCATGGCTGTGGAGGTCCCAGAAGGCAGTGAACGGGAGCACCGCCCCCCTGAGAAGCCCCCGAGGCCACCCCGCCCCCTGCATTTGTCAGAACGCTCGTTTCGGTGAGTGCCACTAGTCCCCTCTGCTGATTCTCCTGGGACACAGAGACATTAGGGCCACCACCTCAGGGTATCAGATGGTCAGAAGTCTATTACTGATGGGCATAGAGGATGCAGCCGGGGCTAGGGATGTCACTCGTGTAATGTTTTATGGGACTGTGCATCAGCCAGGGCGTGATCTGTGGGCTCAGCAGATCTGGAGATTGAGCCTTGGATGCACTGTGTACATGCTGTGTGGCTTTGAGCAGGCTGTTTCACCTCTTCTGTGCCCCATGTCCTTAGCTATCAGACCATGTGAACGGCAGCCCCTGCACTGAGGGAGGTGGGGAGGTTAAGCAAAATGAAGCATGGGATGCACAGAGCACACTCGGAAGCGCTGGAGGTGCAGGGATGGCTTCCTATCATTGTGTGGCTGTGTCCATTGCTGCCCTGGCTAGCATGACTCTGCCCCTCTCTAACCCAGACGAAAGAAGGACTCCGTGGAGAGCCACCCAACCTGGGTAGACGACACTCGGATCGATGCAGATGACATTGTGGAGAAGATCATGCAGAGCCAGGACTTTACAGATGGCAGTAACACTGAAGGTGAGCTGCCCACCCTGAGCCTCCTGGGGGGCTGTGCTGTCTCCTAGCCACCTGGGGCACGATGCTGTCTGCTCTGCCCGCTCAGCTTCCATCCTCCCTTCTGTCCCTACAGACAGCAACCTCCGGCTGTTTGTGAGTCGTGATGGCTCCACCACGCTGAGTGGAATTCAACTGGCCAACAGGTAGGGATCAAAGACCAGGCGAGGGGTGGCCAGGTGGCAGGGGCAAAGTGGTGACAAGCAGTCTTTAGGTGCCACTTCTTGTCACAACAGAAAGGAGGCAGGCAGGCACAGGAGAAACATTATTATAAGGTTTATTAGAGGAGGCATATCTCCCCGGGAGAGGGCCCACATTTGACCTTGGGACCTACATGTCTGGCAGCATGGGAAACTCCCGCCTCCCCGGAAAACCTTGTAAGGAGTGCTGGTGACCAGGTTGGTGCACAGGGTCACCTGGGAAAGTGCCTGGCACAGGGTTCAGTATATGGCAATGGCTTAATAACTTTCCTTGTCCTTCCTCCTGAGTCTGGGAACCCCTGAAAGGACACATTGGTTTACTGAACCAATATTTACTGAGCACCAGTTAAACCCAGCACAAAGCTAGGGGCCAGGGCACAACCAGGAACAATAATCATTTGTGCAGAAGTGACCTTTGTAGAGGAGGGAGTGACAAGGTCAAACTTCTGCTAGAACTCTGTAGTCTACCCTCTGTTCTCACAGACTTTCATTCAGAGCAAGTTATTGCGTGCCTGGCTCCCCACACCTTTTTACTCACTGAGAAAGCTTGCAAACCAGCTAATGAGGAAAGAGACACAGACAGACAGACTGACTGACTGACTTCCTGCACAGCCCAGCACTGACCAGGTGGGGAAGTATCCATGTCTGGATACCCAGCCCAACCCTGGTCATGGGACTTGCTCTCCTGTGCTGATCTGCTGACCCCTGCTGGCGTAGGCTTGAAATTATAGTCATTGTCTCCACTTGTAGAAGAGGATCAAGTAGAAAAAAACAAAGGGGCTTCTTTGTGCTTTCTTCTTACAAGCCCCCTCAGAATATGAAGAAAGTTTGGCTCAAGAGGTAAGGGGAAGCCAGTCTGGTCAGCAGCAAGATTATAGCAGGGCAGCATGTTGTGCCTTGAATGTCTGTGGGTAGGTCTCACTCAAGCAGGGAGATGAGATCAGGCCACCTAACTTTCAACTGACCCAATCCCTCTGGGCCTCAGTTTCTTCATCTGTTAAATAGGGCAGAGCATCCTGGTTTGACAGGGTTATGATCAGAACAGGACCCATATAAGCTGCTGATGTCCTGAAAAGGCTCTGGCCTATCGTGTGCCAGCTCTGTAGGCTCTTACAGACTCTGATATAGCTTTGAAACTGTCTTTAGATCTCAGCCTCCTGAGTAGCAACGATAGCAGGCAAGATGCACCAAGTACCTAGCTTGAGCCTTGGTTTTAGCGCTTATGTAAAACAGGGCTGGTTCATAGTGACTGCTGATGAACTAACCCGGGAGCCTGGGTGGAGGGAGGTGGGCAGTGCTCAGTTACAGAACATTGAAAGGCCAAGCTGACTTATTTCTCCCCCGCAGGGTCTCCTCTGGAGTCTACGAGCCAGTTGTGATTGAAAGCCATTGAGGAGGCAGCTGTCGAGACTGGAGAAGGTTCCAGACCCGCATCATTCCAGGAGGGGCCTCCCTTCAGTCCCATGCCACATCTCATCCGTGCCTCGTCCATGTCCTTTCTCCCACACCTGCCCTCAAAGCATCATTCCATTGTCTTGCTGCCCACCAGAGACCTTTGTGTCCCGCAGGGCAGGCACCACTGTGAATATTCTCCTCAGAACCACTAGAAGGCAGGGCAGGTGGGCTTTGCTGTAAAGGCCAGTACCGCCCCTCTGGAGATCTGCTTAGCCTTGGCCAAGGATGTATAATTGCTCTTCCCACGTAGGGGTGCTTGTGGTCATGGGGCCTGTCCCTTGGATCCTGCTCACTCCAGGAGCACCTGGCTAACAGGGCCTTGTTCCAGTGCCCCCTTGCCCTTAGGGGGAAGGTTAGGCCACCCCCTGAATCCTTCCCACCCATTATCCTCTGCTTGTTGCTTCAGTATCCCTTTCCTGAGTCCTGGGGGACCTGCTGGTGGGCCTCCCCTGGGAGCCAAGACCTCAAACCCCACCCACACTCCTGATTAAGACCCCCGTGCCCCTAAGGAATGTTCTGCTGCCCTGGCAGCCCGCACTTTGCACATGCTTGTCCCCAGCACAGCCTCCCTGGCCCTCACCTGACCCCTCCCCCCTCCTCCCGGCCCCTTCCAAAGGTACTGCCTGCAGTGCAGGCAGGCTGGCCCAGGAGCTGGCAGCCCGGCTGGCTCGGAGCCCTGCCTCCATTCTCCAGCCCAGCACAGGCCAGAGCCTAGAAAGATGGAGCATCATGGTGCCCTCTGCCCAGGGCTGGGTCCTGAGCAGCTGGTTTTCCTACAGGACAGAGCCTGGTGGGGCTGAGTGAACAAAGTTTCCTTCCTTCAACCTCAGATCAACGGGCTGGAGTTGGGGCCAGTGCTGTGCTGGAGATGTGGTGGGCTGAGTCGGGCCATAACTGGCTTCTTGCCTGCCACACAAGCCTCAGCCCCTGTCTTTAAGCATCGCCCACTTTGGGGCAGGAGGTCCTCCCAGTGGGAGCAGTCGCTTGCCCAGAGCCCTCCCCAAGGCCTCCTCAGCACTTTCTTCACTACTCCTCAAAACCCACTTGAAGTAGGGCCTGGCTGGCGGCCAACCCTGAACAAACCCCGCGCCTTTGAGTTTCACTCATTTATAAACCCAGCAGGCTGGGTTTGGGGTTTTCGTTTGTTTGTTTCTTCTCTCTCTCTCTGTCTCTCTGTCTCTCTCTGTCTCTCTGTCTGTCTGTCTGTCTGTCTCTCTCTCTCTCAGTTTCATATTTCCTCCTCCCCCATCCAAGGGAGGTGCTTCTGTTCCCATTCTACCTGCAGGCTGGGTTCCAGCAGGGCTGGAGACGAAGGGGACAGGATACTGGTTCTTTGTGGATGGGGAGCAGGTATCCTCCCCAGGCTGGGAGGGGTCCAGTCCCCAGCTGGCGAGGGCTGGGAATCTTGGTCATGGAACTCCCTGGTATTGGGACCAGAGCATTTCTAGGGGTTTTGTTATTGCCATCATTATAATTATCCAATCATGCTTTTGGAACATGAATGTTCGGAGGTAGGGCTGAGCGTGGCCCTGGCTGGATGAGCTCTGGTCCACTGAGAGTCTGTCTCTGCTGGGCAGATACCAAATGTTTTAAAGGGAAGCTGGTTGCACTAGCCCCAGATTCAGTGATCGTCCTAGAAGATGGGAGAGCACCACCCTTCCATGTCCATGGCTTGCCCCCAACTTAGGGGGGCATTGCATTCAGGGTGTAATTTGGGTTTGAGTCAAAGTTCTGGGATTTTAGGCACAAAGCTTTGGGAGTGCCAGGGAGATTCTTGAACCAGGAACCCCAGCCCTACCCAGCCAAGGTGTAATCTGGAGTCACCCTAGAAGAAGACAGAGCCTGCCACATCCTCCCATGCCAGGCCCTTGGGCCAGGATAACTAGGTTGAGAATTTGGCCATAACCAAATGAACACTGGCCGGAGCCAGAGGCTGGCAACTCTGGCCTCCTCATGTGGAAACTTCAATCTGAGGCCCCTTGAGCTCAGTGATTCTTGCAGGTACCCACAGCGCTGGAGACTTCAGATTCTATATAGAGATAGGATATATTAGAGATATTTTTGGAAAGGAATTGGTCTATGCAATGCCAGTTTGGAATCTTCTTGAAAGACAGTTTAATGTTTCTACTAGGAGATATAAAGAAAAATAAAGATCTACAATATTTTTAGTTTTTTTTTTCTGGATTCCCCACACACACCTGGTCACACTGCATGATCCGTCAGGATACAGAATATCCATTTTCCTCTCTTTAGGGATGCAGTAGGTGGGGGAGGTTGTCACATTTTTATGATCTCCCTCCCATCTTAACAATGTTGCCCCCACTGCACCCCAATATGGTGGGCTGTGTTTTGCATCTCTGTTCCAGCTTATTGTAGAAAATAATGTTGTAAGGGGGAAAATCAGCCTAGTTACAGTGTCTTGGTTTTGGGGGGGGGGGTGACAATTAAATGTGCTTTTTGTTAATTTTGTTGCTTCTTAAAAAAATTCTTATTTGGCATGGTGGAGTCCAGCAGATGGAGAACACGTGAAAGACATGGGTTAGGTGGACTTTAAGAGCCTTGCATGGGGGCAAATAGCTGCTGCCTTCTGCTCTCTTAAGCTCCTGGCAGGCCTTGTGTGCAGGCTCAACCTGAGCCCTTCAAAGTCACAGAGTAGCTTAGTGGTGGAGCCAGGTTCTGGGAAAGGCTGATTGTGCCCAGTCTTCTGGGAGCTCTGAAGTGACAAGGAGCTTTCATACCAAGACCCTGGTCCCCAATCTACCAGAAAGCAAAATTGCCCCCACTCTGTCTCCAGGGTAATCTTTTGCACCTATGAAGCTAGGTATCACTTGCCTTATTTATATACCCCTCTGGGAAGGGAAAGTTAGCTAGGGAAAAGAATGGGGCTATAGGCCAAGAGAGTTGGTCTACCAGCCTTGGGATGACAACTACTATAGTCAGTGATGGGCCCCAGAAGATGACTGATGGGGATAGGAAGGTGGCTCAGTGGTAGAGCGCTTGCCTTGCATGCCTGAGGCCCTGGGTTCGATTCCTCAGCACCACATAAGCAAAAAGAAAAAAGCTAGAAGTGGTGCTGTGGCTCAAGTGGAGCGCTAGCCTTGAGCTGAAGAGCTGAGGGACAGCGCCCAGGCCCAGAGTTCAGGCCCCACGACCGGACCCCCCCCCCAAAAAAAAAAAAAAGACTGATGGCACAGAGCATCCCATGCCCAGCTTAGGCCTTCCCGTTCCCCCTAACCTCAAGCAGAAGGCAGGCCCAGGGCCTCCACAGAACTCCACAGGAAGCACTGATTCTTCAGATGATTTAGCATTCCAGGATCTAAACAGTCATCAAAACTTAAAGCTGGCTGCAATCCTAGCTACTCAGAAGGCTATCAGAGAAAGTTATGTAAGACATCTGTCAGCAAAACAAGCTGAAGTAAAGCCTCACTTCAAGTGGTGGACTACTAGCTTTAAGCCACAAACCGCAAAGACGGCACCTAGGCCCTGAGTTCCCAGGACTGGGAAGCTCATTCTAGGTGTTGGGTGTACAATTCATGACCTTACTCTCAGCGAGCTCACAGGTGAAGCAGACCCAAGGAAATGAGCTAATAAGCCAGTCAGGACAGGGATACACTTGGATCTGGGGCACAGAGGAAGGAACCTCTGCTGCCACCTGCAAAGACAGCTTGAGGAAGGAGAGTGGTATCTGGTGATGGACAAGGACCCCCTGCTCTGGGGGAGGACAGCGTTTCAGGGACTGAGCTAGAGGCAAAGCATCAGAGGTGCTCTGGCCCAGCCTCAGCTTGTTCTCAAGAAAGGGCTTACGAGACTCGGGAGGAATCAACCCGAAATCTGGGATACCCAAGGCCTTGGAGGCTGGCAGAGAAGTTTCCAAGCAAACCCAATGATGGTGAGGGCGTGCCTCCCTCTCTGCCAATCAAAATCTCATTCCTGCGGGTTCGGGCCAGACCCTCCTCTCCCACTGCCAGATCGGGGGTCTCGAGACCTGGAAGTAGGGAGTCCTAAATCACAGTATGGACTTTACCACTCATTTAGATTATGGAGTACCCTTTTTCTACCTCACTGCCCATCTCTCTCTGGCTTAGGGACTATGGGATGTGTTGAGACGTTACCATCGGGTGAGCGGGCACGACAGGACTGTGGCCAGGAAGGCCGGGCAATTTGGGTTCCCAGATCGGCTCCATTACCTGGGGAGATAGAGTAAACAACCCGCCCCATGATGTCATTGAAAACTATATTTCCCGACATGCAAAGAGAGGCAGTGACTTCAGGTCTCGGACTACAACTCCCGGCGTGCTCTTTGATCCAGAGCCGGAACCGGATGTGCCTCGTCGCTCCTGTGGCGGAGCGTCGGGGAAATGGTGAGCTTGGCGTCCGGGTGCCGCCCAGGTTGGGAAGATTTTAGCGGGTAGGACGGGACGGCTGGGGCTCAGACACCAGGGTTGCTCTCCCTCGGTTTCCTGGATAGGTGAAAACGCCGAGGCCCGGCACACAGCCTGGAGATTGGCGCCAAGTCTGCCCCTCTGTACAGCTTTTGAATGGATGGGAAGTTTAGCGCCAAAACTGGCGGCGTCGCCCCCTTTCGGCAGTGCCCCCCAAAGAGTCACTTGTCAGCTGAGCCTTCCCTCTCCTCCAGGCCACCGGGACAGACCAGGTGGTGGGACTGGGCCTCGTCGCCGTCAGCCTGCTCATCTTCACCTACTACACCGTCTGGGTGATTCTCTTGGTACGTGTCTGCATCTCCCGCGCTCACCTTCCCCACCTCTGGATCTCGTAGCCGCCCCCCAAAAAGCATTTAATCCAAGCACTGTGCGGGTGCTTCACCTGCTTTATCTGAGAAGGATGCTGGTGGCCCCAGCGAATTATAGACGAGGAAATAGGCGCAAGGAGAAGGATCTAGCCCAAAGTCGCATTCTGCTACACTGTGAAACCCTGTTTAAAGTTATTCTGCCTTCTGGTGAGTCAGCTGGCTCCTGGGCATGGCGAACACCAGGACTTAATGAGTACCTTTAAGACTTAAAAAAGTTTTTTTTTTTTTCTTCCGATGTGGGAAAATTTGTTAGTTGCTGCTTAAGAAGTGCAATACAGCGGGGCACCTGTAATCTTAGCTGCTTAGGAGGTTGAGATCTGAGGATTATGGTTTGAAGCTAGTCTGGGCAGGAAAGTCCATAAGACTTTTTTTTTTTTTTTTGCCAGTCCTGAGGCTTGACCTCTGGGCCTAGGCTCTGTCCCTGAGCTTCTTTTGTTCATGGCTAGCACTCTACCACTTGAGCCATAGTGCTAATTCTAGCTTGCTTTTTCTGTGTATGTGGTACTGAGGATTCAAATCCAGGGCTTCATCATTCGAGGCAAGCACTCTACCACTAATCCACATTCCCAGCCCCCATAAGATTATTATTATTTTTTTGGTCAGTCACGGGGCTTGAACTCTGGGCCTGGACGCTGTCCCTGAGCTCTTCAGCTCAAAGCAAGCACTCTACCACTTGAGCCACAATGCCACTTCCCCCCCCATAAGACTTTTTCTTTTCTTTCTTTTTTTTTTGGGTCAGTCGTGGGGCCTGAACTCTGGGACTGGGCACTATCCCTCAGCTCTTCAGCTCAAGGCTAGTGCTCTACCACTTGAGCCACAGCGCCACTTCCGGCTTTTTTCTTTTTGCTTATGTGGTGCTGAGGAATCGAACCCAGGGCCTCATGCATGCAAGGCAAGCACTCTACCACTGAGCCACCTTCCCAGCCCCCCCCCCCCCATAAGACTTTTATCTCCAATTAAGCATTAAAAAAAAAGCTGGAACTGGAGCTGTGATGCAAGTGGTCGAGTGCTAGCCCTGAGCAACAGAGCTCAGGGACAATGCCCAGGTCCTAAGTTCACACCCCAGGACCAGCAAAAAAGTGCAGTATAAGCCAGCACTGGTGGGTCATGCTTATACTACTAGCTACTCAGGAGACTGAGATCTGAAAATTGTAGTTCAAAATCAGCTCAGAATCAGCCCAGGCAAGGAACTCTGTGAGACTCTTATCTCCAATTAACCACCAAAAAGGCCAGTAGAGGTGTATCTCAAGTGGTAGAGTGACAACCTTGAGAGATAAAGCTAAGGGACAGCACCGAGACCCCAGTACTGGCACAAAAGAGAAGACCCAAGAGCCCAGGCTGGGAATCCCTGGAGGGATCATAGAGTCTTTGCTGGCCTAAGGTACTCAGATCCTCATCATCAAGTAAATACCCAGGAAGCAATTTTATTTATTTATTCCAGTCCTGGAGCTTGAACTGAGGGCCTGAGCACTGTCCCTGACCTTCTTTATGCTCAAGGCTACACTCTACCACTTGAGCCACAGCGCCACTTCCGGCCTTTTCTGTTTATTTAGTACTGAGGAATTGAACCCAGGGCTTCATGCATGCCAGGCAAGCACTCTACCACTGAGCCACATTGCCAGTCCAACAATTATTTTTTAAAATGAAGAAAGGAAAGGAAGAAATGGTACTGACCTACCACATCTCCCCCCCAAAATAAAAGCTATCATTTTAAAGAAAAACAGATGCCTTTCTAGTATTCTCAACATAGCTCCGTGGATGGAGGAGGTGAGCTTGGGACTGGGCAAGTACTCTGGTAAGCAGTACTCACTAGAGCTCTGCCCCCCATGCCAGCCCTTCATCGACAGCCAGCATGTCATCCACAAATACTTCCTGCCCCGAGCCTATGCGGTTGTCATCCCGCTGGCTGCCGGCCTCCTGCTACTCCTGTTTGTGGGTAAGTTTTCTCTTCTCCCAGCACCCATTGCTGCTTCTCTGATCATGGCTGTCTTGAGGCGTTGGGCAGGGCGATGGAGGGCTCATTTCTGGGCAGGCTTCTGACACTTGCACACCTACTTGAGGCTCGTCACAACCAACTCTCCCAGGGGTTTTCCTGTTCCTCTTTCAAAGCCACAAGTCAACAACCTCTCTGGTCTCCCCAGGGAGAACTCTAATGTCTTGCATGTTCCCATCCCTAATCACTTCCTAGGCTACTGTTATACAAGCCCACCTGGACTCATAGTTCCTGTATTTCTCATGACTGGAGACTGTGTCTTGGTGGTTACTGTTCTCAGCACCAGCACAGACTTAGACTATTCCAGGGGAATAGTTCGGATGAATCAACCAGCAGATAGCTGTGTGATAGGAAGAGAGGTAGGGGAGGTGGTTAACAGGTAGACCTCGTTCATGGATCTGAAGTATCAACAGCATCTTGCCTGATGGAGCCACTCCTTTGGTGATTGTTAGATCAGTGTAGGTGGATGAGGAGGTAGAGTCTGAAAGGTGGTTGGACAAGCACAGGACCTAGCATGTGGGCCATTCTGCCACACCCCTCCCCCAATTACCTCCTAGCCTCCCCCACCCCTCCAGAAAGATCTGAGCGCAGATCTTTCATGGCCTGACTGCTCTGTATTCTAGGACTGTTCATCACCTACGTGATGCTGAAGAACCAGAAGACCAAGAAGGCCCAGTGAGGGGTGGGCAGGGTTGAGGTGCTGGCTCCTCTGCATTCCCTCCAAGCCAGGGACCAAGGGTTGCAGCCTGCAGGACATCTGGGCATGGTGGCCTCATCCTGGCTGCCCCACAGCCATCTCCAGAGAGCTGCTTAGGAGCCAGCCTCTGACAGACTGGGGCTCCCTCTCCCACTCACCATTCCAGAAACCAGGAGAGAGAAGGACTGGAAGCTGCCCACTTAACTGCTTCTGTCTCAGCCTGAACCATGATGGTCCTGACCTCTCTGTCAGACTCCTTGTCACCTTTTCCTCTGGGCTCTGCCTTCCTGCCCAGTTTCCCTCCTGTCTCATGCTGATGATGGACTTCGCAGGTTCTGGGACTGCACGTGACCTCTCCTTTCCTCCTGCATGTCCTCCCCTCCACCAAGTCAGTTCTTCCGGGTCTGACACAGCTCAGGTCCCACAAGGACCTCTGGACCTGGAAAGCCCTAGGAAAGGACTGACAGACCCCAGGACCATAGGACCACGCCAGTCCCTTCAGCCCCAGGTCTGTTTGGAAGAAGTTAAGAATAAATGTTGATCATGTGTTTGACTCTGTCATTTGTGAATGAGGAGCTGTGCTGTAGGGGGCAGAGCTGACCCTTCCTTGGACTCAGATGGAAGGCTTTGGTTATTCAGTGACTCAAATGCCTCTTCTGCACTGTCCCTCTTTTGGACATGGAATAAGGCAGGAACTAGGACAGATGTGGTTCTGGGTGGGTAGCACTCAACATTGGGGTTCAGCAAAAGTCTAGGCACACATCTGCCATACCTTCCCTATGGTACCTTGGCCAAGGCCCCTTAGGGACCCTCCAGTCATTCCCCTAAAGCTTAAGCCCATTGTCTGTTTACCCAGCTTAGTGGAGTCCTGAGCTGCCTATGAGTCAAAGACCCCTTCTGTGTTCTGGTGGGGTGAGACAGTGCAGGCTCCAGCCCTTGCTAGGCCCCCTGTGGGCAGCAGCTCTTCCAGTGCTCCAGTGCCTATAGGAATCTTCTGTCCTCCCAATGGTGGGTGTTCACTCAGTTGCCCACTGGGCGTTGGGTGCCTCCCCCAGCTCCATTGCTATAATAGGAGTGTCTTGCGAATGTTCTCCCCTCCCCTCTGGCTGCCCCTTCCCAGTATTCCCCAAGTGTGCTCCCAGCCCCACTTCCAGGACTCTTTGTCAACCTGGAAATTCCCTCCAGGACCCTCCTCCCTCTCTTTGGCCTCTTTCATGATTTCCTTCCCCTCCCCCACTCCCAGGCTGCACTGAATCTCTCTGGCCCCATCACTCCAAGGAAGATGACCCACTCAGCGTGCAGTAAAGGCCTTTAAATCTGATCCAGTCCTGATCCTCGGCCCCAGCTGGCTGTGACATCCCCCAAGTGCATCTCAGATGCTCTTGGTGTCTCTGATGACTGGTCACCTGCTTGATGTCATCTGTTCTACTATGAAATACTGGGCTCTGAGGACTGTCTGTGGCCTCTCTCCACATCCTCCCTTGCTGATCTCATGATACTGTGGGGAGGAGGGCATAGATGGAGCCCTGTAAGATGACAAGAAGGAACGAGGCAGAGGGGAGTCTGGGGGTAAAATACTTTAGACAGGGCACAGCAAATGAAAACGCCTGCAGATGAGACTTCGGTGGCTGGCCAGGGGACATAGGGAGGAAGAATGATGGGAGATGGGTCTGGTGTAGGACAGACAGCCTGGGGCCACGGAGAAGAGTTTTTGTCCCGTTGCAGTAGGAAGCCACTTGCTTAAAGCAGGAGAGTGACATCATCTGATGCATTCTTTTAAAAGATCATGCTGGCAGCTGTGTTCCTCCTGCTCCTTCATTACTGAGCCTCCCCAGTGGATGTGCCAAATATAGGTGTTGAATGAATGAATGGATGCCTGACTTCCTGTGCGACCTGGAGGTAGTCACTTCTTTCTCTGGACCTTAGTTTCTTCACAGGCAAAGACAAGAGTCAGTGGGAATTTCATGCCTGAATAGGTGGGCGGGGCAGGACTTAGTTTACCCTAGAGGCCCCAAAACCTGCACCTCACTCCCGGGGGAAATTGAGGGGAGAGTCGACCATCCGTTTCCAGGACCCCAGCCAAGGCCGGCAGCCCCACCCCACCGGGACCTGGGTCCCAAGGATGCTGCAGCCGCGGGGGCGGGGCCCGCCGGCGGTCACCAGCGCCCCTCCCGCGCGGATAGGGCGCGGTAATCATCTCTGCCTCGCGATTGGTCCGTCCCGAGGCAGGGGCGGGGCCTGGTGCCTGCAGCGGGGCAGCCGGGGCGCAGCTCAAGCCCAGGAAGCTGCTGAAGGGGGGCCATGGCCGGGCCAAGCCCCGGGCCTCGCAAGGTATGTGCGGACTTGAGGGGGAACCGGAGGGAGAAGGGTTGGTGGGCGGCAACTGGGCCTCCCCTCCGCCAGCGGCGCGGACACGCCCCCGTGCCAGCCAGGGAGGGGCCCTGCCTGGGTGAGGACCAGGACACGCCCCGCTTGGGGCGCAGGTATGAAGACGGGGTGTGATCTGGCGGGTAACCCCCGCCAGGTCTGTCTCAGTGTCCTTCTGGGATAAATGATCATGAAAGCTCTTTCATAGGGTTGCTAAGGAGCTCGAGCTCTCGGCCAGTTTGGGGGCACATGGGGGGCGCCCAGTTAGTAATGAAACGAATGGTATGACCTCAGCGTCATGCTGACCCTCGGCGCTGGCCGGGAGAAGTCGGTACAGACCCGGGGGCAGAGTTCACCGCATCCCCCGGCTGCTCTCAAGACCTGTGCACAGATTCCAAACTCAACAGAAGAGTTAATACCAGTCACCAAGGGGCCTGGGTTGGTTGACCCAGGTGATTTACCCACTAGGGTTGTGCATCGAGAGAACAGGTCAATCTCAGCTGGGTTTGACTGCAGAACACAGGCTCTGCCTACATTTTATTTAGATGCTGATTCCGAGCCAGGTGAGTGAGCCTGGTGAGGAACCCTACCTTATCGCTGAAGAGACCCAGGCAGAGCCAGATGAAGGGACGGCTCATAGGTAGTGGAAATGGGACTTGGACTTGGTTGGGTCTTTCCCCTTCTGAGATGCCACCACATGCTCTTTGCCTTCCTGTGCCTCTTCCTCCTAGATCCTGGCCCCCTCTCCTGAGGCTGGACACAGAACAGCCACCTCTAGCCGCCGTGGCTTCCTCTGGCGCCTACGGGACAAGCAGTGTCGCCTGGGCCTGTTTGAGATTGACCCGGGACATGAGCTGCACAGGTTGACATGTATGATGCAGGCAGGACTGTGGGCTGCCACGCAGGTCTCCATCGACCACCCACCCACGGTGAATGGTCACCTCATCTTGCACACCCCAAAAACACTGAGGGCAAGACCTAGCCAATGGTCTGTCTTGCTAATAAAGCTACACTGGGACCAGAGAAGGGCACTTCAGAGGAAGAAGGCAGGGACTTGTGCAGGGATGGGATGGTGGGCGCTTCCAGGTTGGCAACTGGAATGTTGTGGATGTTGGCTGTGTGAGGAACCCCCTTACTGAATTGATTGCTGTGTGATTTGTAATTTGTCGTGGGCTTTGCCTCAGTATCCCCATCTGTATAGGTGGTGGGGGGATTATATTTCTTGGTTTCTGAGGCCCTCTCAGCTCTTCCAGAGTGTATGGTTAAGGGACCCCACCCCCACTAGGCCAGCCCAGCCCATTCTCCCTGGAGCTCAAGCTAGGGCCCTGCTAGCTCAGCAGAAAGGGTCACCCAGCTGCCAGCTCAGCAGCAGGGCAGGCGGGTGAGCATATATGTTGTCTCTGTGTGTGCCCATGTGCCTAGTCTGACCACATCCTACAGGACAGGCAGGAGGACCAGGGAGAGTACAAGATCCAGGGGGAGTTCTCTAAATCATAACCTAACCTCATCACCTGCTAAAAATCTCCTATGCCTCCAGCCTGGCCTGGCCACCCTGCAAGGGACAGCAGTCCAGTCCATCCACGTTCTGTCCTCTGCCCTGGCTGCAGACACTGCGATCCCTTTCCTTGCTGGTAGCCACTAGTGCTGTTTGCATTGTCATGAGCACCCTTGAGGGTTCAGCTCAGAAGTCATCTCCTCCAGGCAGCAGCCTCTCTGATCTGGCCCCAGCCTGCATCAGGCGATCATTTGGCTTTCTGGGCTATCTCCATGTACTGGGATGGAATTGGCTTCATGTGTCTGAGGACACATGTGCAACTTGAACTCAAGACTTTGGTGTTGGGGACCCAGTGGTAAATGAGACACATCTAGGCCCTGCCTTCCGTCATTCTTCCTCCTCCAACCCTGGGCAATGTGGCAGCCCATTGCAGGCACACTCAGGGACGTCATGGGTTCTGCTTTGCTGAAGGACCCAAATGGAGGCTGGGGTGCAGGTACAGGACACTTAAAGATCCTCAGGTGGGCGGCGGGAGGCCTTGACTTTCCTTGAGGCCCTCTACCTATCTCTGCAGGGCTCACCCACCCAGGAGGATTTCTCTGAAGTTATGACCCAGGTTCATGAGGAGGTAGGAAGCCCGAGACGGGTGGAAGGGGCCCGTAATGGCCTTTGTTCCCCTTGTCCGAGTTTCCTGACTGCATGGTGGGTAACGTAGCCCCTGAGGCCTTTGGAGGAAGGGTGTGGTCATCCTGACGCTCCTGCACCAAGGCCACCTGCACCTGGACCGGCACTGACCCCCGTGGGGCCGCTTTCCCCCCCGCAGGGCTTCGAGCTGGGCACCCTGGCCGGCCCGGCCTTCGCGCGGCTGCGGCGCTCCCTGGGCCTGGTGGAGGAGGACTACCAGGCTGCGCTGGGCCCCGGTGGCCCCTACCTCCAGTTCCTCAGCACCTCTAAGAGCAAGGCCAGCTTCTTTCTGTCGTGAGCTGGCGGCGGGGCGGCGGGGATGGCGGGGCGGCGGGGATGCGGGGATGCGGGCGGCGGGGATGCGGGGCGCGCTCTTTGAGACTCACGGGCGGCCCAGGTTCTCAGGGACGCGGTGGGAGCCGCTCCAGCCAGCTTGGGGGGAACCTTGTGCTTCCGCCCCGCAGCCACGACCAGCGCTTCTTCCTGAAGACCCAGCAGCGCCAGGAGGTACAGGTGCTGCTCGCCCACCTGCCCCGCTACGTACAGCACCTGGAGCGGCACCCGCACTCTCTGCTCGCCCGGTTGCTGGGTACCGGGGCCGGGGGCGGGGCCTGCGTGGCAAAGTATCCGGAGAGGGCGGGTGCGTGGGCGGGGCCAGGAGAAACCGGCTGTGATTGGACACTCCGGGGGGCGGGGCCCAGACCTCTGAGCTGTGTGGCTGGGGCTGGGCATCTTGACCTAAACTGAGGAAAAGTGTGGGCGGGGCCTTGAGGGATGGGCTGAGGGGGAGGAGCCGTTCTTGAGCGGGCAGGGACCTGGTTCTGGGGTTGCGGACTCTGGGGTGCTCACCTGACGCCCTGTCCCTTTCCAGGAGTGCACAGTCTGCGGGTGGCCCAGGGAAAGAAGGTGGGTGAGGTAGAGGCAGGTGACTGGGCGGAGGGGTGTCCGGAGGGGAGATCCTGACTTCCCTCATTCCCCACCCCGCCTCAGAAGTACTTCATCAT